AGCCTGAGGAACAGACAGTGAGCCTGTCTCTCAATAATAATAATACAGTGTGTGATCTCCTGTCCCAGCCTGAGGAACAGACAGTGAGTCTGATCCTGTGTCACAATCACGTTTTACACGATGTATATAAATGTTCAATAACAAGACAGGTGACGCTGACTACTGAGTTCAACCTTGTAGAAGTCATTTTAATTTGCCTTGTTTTCTACTTCCGATATATCTGGATATGTTCTGACAGAAGTGGACACTCCTGACCCGGAGAAACTCAGTAGGGGGACAGAAAAAGGTCATTCTTCTGCCTTGTAGGTCAGTCTGCCTGCTGTGGGGCTCTGGGTCATCCCCAATGAAGACCATCTCCCCAGACCAGCTCTCAGGTGCTCCCAGCACTACGCTGCACTGCTCTGAGGTTTCTTTCGTCATTTAGTGCAAGAATTCGAAACTGGAACAGTAAATCCAGAGAGTTCTGGACGACCGTCAGGAATCAATTAAACAGTCATTAACAGTCTCACACACGGATTCGAATTATATAATAAACATTTTTTGATATGACACCAGAACATGCATAAGAAACCGACACATATCCGAATACTCGTGAATCAATCTGCTGTGATATTGAATTAACAGAAGGGGTCAAGTCCCAGTTTGAATCTGAATAAATCAGATTTATACTCAAGCGAGAGGGGTGGGGAGAACCCGGGTCGTCCCAACTACAGCTTCTTCCAGAATACACTAGAATACAGGGACCCTAGGTTGGCAAACGCAAGACATCTCCTATCGCAGAAAGTCTCGAGGCAGAATTCTGTACCTCACTAACTCACCCTCGGGGAAGAGGCATGAGAATCCAGTGAGCATACCCACGGCAATGAGTTGTGTGCTAGTATTTCAGGTCAGACATCACAGCTGGTGGAGAGGTCAGGATGTGAGCGTGGATAATTCTGGTATCCACCCTGCAGGTTCCTCATTGCTGGATGTTCCTCTGGGGGAGGGAACGTGACCTTGGACCCATAGTCTGAGCAGAAGGAGACCAGAGTCCAGCTGTGCTGTACATCATTAGATGGTTCAGAATGTAGACAGCTTTATGATGTCCCAGTCCGTATACCAGACCTGGAAAATCTTAATCAAACAGCAACATCTTCTTAGCTGCATTCTTCTGCTTTTAAACAAAATTCCAAGCCATTTTGTCAAGGCAAGAGAGACATTACCGATATATTCTTTCATTACACTTAATTTGAAGTGTAGTAATACTTTTCCACTACAACGGTACCTTGTGAATCTGTTCATGATACCTGAGACTTGAAGCCTGGTTGAAACTCTTCCCACAATGTGCACAGCAGTATGGTTTCTCTCCCGTGTGAATCCGTTCATGACTCTTGAGCGCCCCTACCTGGTTGAAACTCTTCCCACACTGCTCACAGCAGTATGGTTTCTCTCCCGTGTGAATCCGTTCATGAACCTTGAGGTGTCCTACCCTAGCGAAGCTCTTCCCACACTGTTCACAGCAGTACGGTCTCTCTCCGGTGTGAACCTGCTCATGAATGTTGAGCTGTGTCGCCCAACTGAAGCTCTTCCCACATTGGGCACAGATGTAAGGTCTCTCTCCCGTATGAATCCGTTTGTGAGTTCTGAGAATTCCCGAATGGCTGAAGCTCTTCCCACACTGTTCACAGCAGTACGGTCTCTCTCCTGTGTGAACCTGCTCATGAATGTTGAGCTGTGTCGCCCAACTGAAGCTCTTCCCACATTGGGCACAGGTGTAAGGTCTCTCTCCCGTATGAATCCGTTTGTGATTTCTGAGAATTCCCGAATGGCTGAAGCTCTTCCCACACTGTTCACAGCAGTACGGTCTCTCTCCTGTGTGAATCCGTTTGTGACTTCTGAGGGTTCCTGCCCGGTTGAAACTCTTCCCACAGAGTTCACAGCAGTACGGTCTCTCACCTGTGTGAATCCGTTCATGATCTTTGAGTGATCCTCTCTGATTGAAACTCTTCCCACAATGTTCACAGCAGAGTAGTTTCTTTCCCCTGTGAACTCGATCATGATTCTTGAGAGCTGTTGCCCGACTGAAACTCTTCCCACACAGTTCACAGCAGTACGGTCTCTCTCCACTGTGATTCTGTTCATGATCCTTCACAGTTCCTGCACAGATGCTCAGTGGTTCCTCAGTTTGTGTTTTGATCTGGTCAGACTCCTGATGGGAAGTTTCCAGTGCTGCAGTGCTGAGGGACTGAATCCTGGACAGATCTGCAGTGTAGCTGGAGTCCAGATCACTTTCACTCTTCAC